TAATTACTTTGCATAATTAATTTCATATGATAAATAATTAGCAAGCATATAATAATAATTTTTAGACGAAATCACGGATGCCGGAATAAGATTACTATCACATTCAGGAGTAATTATTTTACACTTGATCCTATCAACGCATTTACGTGGCGATTGATTGTTTGTTTCTGTTTTTTGGACAAAACTTTCTGATTATAATATTCATGAAGAGTGTATTCTTACCAGAATATAACAAATTCCATAAAGAATCAAAAATAATGTTTGTAGTGAATGCAAGTTACAAAAACATTACCTCGTGCATGGAATAAGATTAATTTATTAACATTGCCTAGCATATTTTTATAGTTTTGATATGCCTCAGTGCTGCATTCCATAAAATTGCATAAATGCAACCGCTCCTCAGAAGTATTTTGTCTTCAGTAGCAATTTTTTAAAAGCAAATTGCAATAACTCTAACATCGAATTGGTATGTAAATTTTATAACTTTTATCATGCAATAATAATTGTTAATAAATTTGGTGATTAATTCCATGCATACACACAGTATTTTGTATGATAAAAAGCATAAAATTATTTATTACAAATGAAATTAATCAGTCAGTTCAATCACTGATAACTTCGATTTGCAGAAATTTACCAGAAATTTTGTAAACTACAGTTTGTTTTGGACATACAATATCTCGCAAATTGTACAGATAGCATTGTTTCGTTACTTTGCATTATTCATTTTTAATGCACATTTTATGATTCACTACTTTGCCTGTACTACATAATTAATGTTATTTATTATTGTAAAATTACTTTTTGCAATGATAATTGGAAGAATATTTAAAGTATGCAAATTTTTGTTAACTAAGACAAATTACCTTTTGCTTGATGCAATTTAAATTATTAAATTTAATATATACTGTCCTATCTCAGAGCATGCAGTTTTTTTGCTTAAGATGAGAATTTGTACAGCTAGTCGTACCACAGCGAATGTTTCAATAAAAATTATGATCTATAAAACATAAACATTCTCAAAATTTTACATTGTTACTTTGCAAAAAAGGGCAAAAATAAATAATCACAAGTAATAAGTCAACAATTTTTTAAATTACATTTTATCTTTAATCACAAATGCAAATAAACTGATCGCAACATTTATCCTTATCACTCTTCAACTTATATACATTTTTAATTTTACGTAACATTCGAAGAATAATTTAAATAGCTTTTGTCTTCTTGTCATATTTATTAATTCTTTTCAATCTCTACAAGTATTTGATTAGTTCAACAAAGCGCATTTATGATATTATCAATAATTTATCAAAGCTCTCTGACATTTGATATTTTTTTGATGACTTTGATTGTTTACTTTGATTTAAATTATTAAACTAATTCAAAGAAAATTTTTCAATAAAGTAATTAAGCTGAAAACAAGTTGTATACTTTTTTCAGCCTTACAAATAAATGAATTTTATTTTAATCTATGTGTTACTTACGTTATATTAACGTAAGTAACTTAGTGCATGATAACTTAACAAGCTCTTAAAAACTATGTAAGTATCGGTTATCGGTAACAATTGAAGCCGTCGTACCAGTTATGTCTTGAACTGTTTTTTCGAGTATTTCGAGACTTCTACAATGCCTTTTAATCCATTTTTGATCACATTCAAATCCCAAGATGTTTCTTATTTTATCGTTAGTCCAATTTATCTGTGTAATAATACATCAGTAATTAAAAATGATATCCATAAATTGAATAATTTAACAAATTTTTTCCTAATATTAAAACATATATCGAAATAAATTCAATAATAGCATATACATATTTGTGATAACTTTTTGAGAAGAATATAGTTTGAAAAAAGCATTATGTAGACAAAGTAAGATGTTTTTAATTATTTACAATGACTAATTTTAAATTAGTCTTTAAGTTAATTTTAAATATATTAATTTTTAAATTAATTATCAAAAAATAGACTATCAAACCCTTTTCAGCAGTGCATTACGCCTTAAACAAATCGCCATCTGACGAGTTTGAGCAATTTGTGCTAGTAATAATACACTTGCAAAAGACATTCTTTCTCGTATTGCCAATAATTTTAAGTTAGCTAAACAAAAAAATTTACCTATTGTTAACAGTAAATGAATAGTATTATAATTAATACTGATTTATTACCTAAATAATTTATGTAATAAAATTTGTTTTGAATATCAATAAAAGTAAATATTTAAATGCTTACAACAACGTCGCGCAAGCTCTAATACAAGTATATCAACTCGTTTTGCGAATTTTCGAGATCGATAACGACGTTCAAGACCTTTTTGTAGAAAGTAGCATAATGTTGTAGAATAATTAGAACAAATCTGCAATTTTAATTTAGTTTATCCATAATTTAATAAATAAGTAGATCATAAATAATTAAGTAATAATAAAACTATCATTTTAAAACAAAAGGTTGAAAAAATTTTACACAAATTCAATTTATCACAAAAATAGCGCTACTAATATAACTTTTGTACTCGAATTATTTTTGAAGCATAATTATAATACTGATTTTCGATAAACTTTAAGTAATTGAAGAGATAAAAGATGTCACAACTTCTTCCAGTAATCCACTCGTTAATTGTCCAGTGGAATTTTCGAATATAATAGCATAGACTGGTGCTTTAGGCTGAATTAATAAAGTATTTTGTCGTTTTCCTGGAGTTAGTAATGCTGTAGCATAAGTACTGTACGATTTATGTGATTGTAATAATAATTCAATTACAATAATGAATTATAACCTGCTTGAATCAAATAGATTTTTGTGTAATTATTACGCTCTTGAAATGAAATCCAAGCTTTTGAATTGACTGCTCTAGCATCAAAAGTTTTCTCATTCTAAAATACAAATTTTACTGCAAAAATTGTGTAATGTCATTGAAATCGATAGTTTACACTAAAAAATAGCAATTAATATCATATTCAAAATATAATATAAAAGATATGTACAAAAGTCAAAGTTCAAAAGTGTTCGAAAAGTTTTGTACAACAGTAATTAGATCTAACTAAGGCAGTTGTTTGAATTATTTCATTTCAGTGAGGTTTTATAACAACAGTACTATTTAAAAAGTTGTATTTTTCCTTCAAATTCAAATTCTGTTGCATTAAATTTTTTCACTTAAAATTAATCGAGTTTGAGTAGTTCATGCATTTTTTTTTGGTGCTAATTGAGCAATAAATACAAGTTGTTAAAATCAATAGTAGTAATAATATGATGTCTTACTTGAAATATAATTAGTGATTTAAGATACTTCAAATCAGCTAGAAGTTGGATGACAGATTCATCGAGATGTTGTGGGGATACTGTCAGACGTACGAGGCAAAGAAACAAGCCAAGTTGCAAAAACGCTTTTGATACTTTGGTTAAATTAACAATACATAAAGATGTCATTTGAGAATCAAATTTGTACAAAATCTGAAAATAACATATATTTTTGAACAATATTTTGAATTACTAATTTGAGTAATTTAAAATTTCACGAACTTTTATAAAAACTAATGACTAATTTTTTGAGTATAATTGAATCTAAATACAGGAAGAATTTAATATATCTATTGATACTGAAGTTAGATTACACATTTCATAGCAATATAATTACTGTATGTAACTAATAAGTTATCAACCATGATTTCAGTGATATTTGCATGCATTTTGTTTATAAGTGAAAAAATGCTTCAATTTTTGTAAATATTATCAGCTACAAATTACTTTTAAAATTATTTGACTATAAAAACTGTAAATATTTTGTTACATCATCAATGAAATTTGCACATTCATGTGGTTCTAATTGCAGTTCTCGAAGTGTTAATTCAGTTAATCCATGCAAATGTGATAATAACATGGATAATGTTTTTAACATTTCACCACCGGTGCCAAAAACCTAAATATATTAATTTATTAAAAATAAGCAAATATCAGTCAAATTTTATGAAAAAATATCAACTTCAAATCAAATTTCATGCCGTTTTTACAAAAATTTATTGCAAATTAAGTTTTGCAAAAATGCTTACCTAATATTATTACAGAATTTAGTCTTTTTTTAAAGTAATCAACTGTGAAAAACAAAATAACATTTTATTTTTACTTTTGCTTATATTTTGAAAGTCACAAATAAATAATAAAGCACTTAAACTAAAAATAGTAATTTAAAAAGTTATTAATAAACTTACAGATTACAAAAAATACCATATAAATTGACGTACTCTTTCGCTCCGATGATCGCTTCCTTCATGAACGTGAAGTTGCCATTTGAATGAAAACGAGCGTATTCCTTGTAATGGTTTACCAGACAAGTTTCTCTCGTAATATTCAGAAAAATTTGTCAAAACTCGAATAAATTCATACAAATTAAAAAGTATCGTTACGGGCTCAATTTCAAGCTTTTTCCATTTCATTGTTGCATTCAGAATCAAAAATCTTTGAAAAAAGAAGCAAATCAAACTTTTTACATAAATTTTTACTTCAAAAAACTTTAAATGCAAAATATTATACTTTAATATTTATTAGTGTTATCAGTATTTTTTCCTTCACTTTATGCTTTGTATTTTGTCACAATAATTCTGAAAGATTGCTTCAATTTTTATGATTTTTTAATAAAAATAAAACATTTTTTGGTTTTCGTGCCATTAAACAATTTAGTTTAAAAATTTTCTTGGATCTTTTATTTTACTTAAATTTTGAAATACTTTATCAGCATTTAAAAAATTATGAATTTTTTTTGTGAAGTCAAAAAGTTGTGAATATTTACAACTTTGCCAGATACCTGGCTTCCAATCCTTTCAATCCTGCTCAAAATTCTTGCCATAAACAATTTGAATTTGCATAATGTATGAATCTTCAAAAAGTCTTGGCTATTTTTCGTTGTTACATAATAGTGAATAATATTAATTTATGCATAAAACAATATTCTTAAATGAATATTACCTTAATTTCCAGTGGTCAATCATATATTGCCAACCACCGTGTGATGTATACTTTCGTCTTGTAAATATATAATCCTTATATTGAAATCTATGCCAGACATAATCATTTTGACTTATACGATACCAATTTAAACATACCCAAAAAAACATACTTTTTAGGTTTTTTTCAAAAGATATAACTTCAAATTGAATATAATAAAAACAATTATTAGCAACTTTGCAATTAACTCCCAATCACTTTATTTGTCGAAACTGTTATTTGTAAATATTGCAAATTTTACTAATAAAAAATGCAAAAATATTCACCTGAGAGCAACGTCCCAAATTTTTAATTGGTAATTGTGAGAAAATTTCTTCCAGAAGTAAATCTGGAAGAAAAGCCCAATTTTTAGGCCTTCTGAATTCATCACGCATCATTCCATTTAATTACTTGACATGTCTTGATAATCAAGAGAAACAGTGAGTCTCAAAACAACAATGATAATAACAATGACAATAACAAATTTACAAATAAAAATAAAAATATAAAAATAAAAATAGCAATAATAATAATAATAATAATAATAATAATAATAAATGATGATTATTGGTACTGTTCCTAGCTAAGGATTGCTTAGGCAAACTAATATTAAGACAGGCTTTAGCAAGAATAACAAGTTTTAAATGAATACGCAAGAAAGCAAAGATGATAAAGAATCCTTTAAGATACTTCAAGAATACAGAGAGATAAAATGAATGAGTTAAAATTACAAAAAACTGAAAGATATAAACTTGCAAAGCATATTTTTCAAATTTTTTCAACTTTTAACTGTTGTTTGTGGCACAAATCCACTTGATTGATCTATACAACATATATATTTAGCTATGTTAGCTATTAAAATATCTCTTATTATCACTTTGTATCAATTAATTCCTTAAAATCGGTTTATAATTAATAAGTTTTTTGCTAGATATAGAGGCAATTTTTGAGAAAATTTTTTATATACTTATATATAAATACTTTTGAAAAAAAGCCCGCTGAGAAAATCTTTTTTTTATTTCAAATATTTTTGTGATTTAGTCAGTTTGCGACAAAAATAATATAAGGCCGAATTGACATCGGTCAATCCGATGACCAGCACTGGACTATTTAATTATTTAATGCAAATATGAAAAAAAATAAAATACTGAGCTGATTTATGGAATGGAAAATAAATAAAAATAAATAAACAGTGCTGTAAAACTGAGTAAAAATTAGTGTGATAAGATATGATAGGAAAATTTTATCTCTAGAAGTTTACTTCAAAATCAACAGAAAGTGTTTATATTTATATCAAGTATTTATTTTTATGAGATTATAAATCATAATAATTTTACATATTATGATGATTAAATTAGTTTGTGATATCAACTTAGATATACTCTTTACAACACAAAGAAAGCAAAAAAAAATTGAGAGAAAGATTTAAGCAGAATTTTTTGCTGCTTTAAATGCTTTTTTGAACATTTTGGAAGATAAGCTATCATCATTTTTTATGGTGCAAATAAATCACTATATCATTTTTAGTGAATTTTGCCCCATTTTTTATTAGAAAGTTAATAATTTTACTTGAATTACGCAGTGCTTTATTCAAGTGATATTAAATTACTAATTTTTTTAAATATAGTTCAAAGGTAAAATTTTGATACAAATATGATAATTATTGTGAATAATTTTTTATTGCTTAAGTAAATACTGAGCTAAAAACACTTTTTATTTTATCGTTCTTCTATTTTTGATTGTCATAAAATAAAGTTTAATATTATTTAAATTAAAAATTTTATATACTCGTACTTAATGCAGAAGCTAAAAAGTAATCATAGTAAAAATTATAAAAAAGCTAAAAATCGCTTCAGTTAGCAAATTTATGCTTCAGCAATTATCATATTTAATTGAGTGCATTTTTCACAGTTGTAATAATTTATTTTTATTTGCATAATTCGTTGGAATTTTTTTAAACAAATTTGTTTTAGTACCACATTGCGACTATCATAATCATTATTAGCATATATTTGCATGATAATTATACTCAATATAAACTATTGCCAATTAATCATCCTATAACTTAACCATACTCTCAACGTATTAAAAGCTATTACTTTCTGAACTACTTTAAGTCTTACAGTAATATCTTATATTTAAATCTTACAGTAATATCTTATATTAAATTGCAAATAAACTTATATCTACTTTGTATATTTCTATTATACATTGCTTTATTGAGACGAATATGAACTTGATTTTTCATTTAAATATCACAAATTTCAATTTATGTGGTATAAAAAGATATTTTTTAAAAACATGCGAATAAAATAGCTTATATTTAAATAATCATTTGACGATTTGTTATTGCAACAAATACTATTTTATGTGAGCACGAGAAAACATTACAAGATTTATTCATTTATTAAAATTTACATAAAATGATAAAAGAAATTTATGCAAATATCACAACATTTAAACAGAAAATATCAAGTTGGGATTTACGGTAAGAGCTGAAAAGTTTACAAAATTTAGTAGAAAAATTGTTGTTTAGTAGTCGACATTATTATCATGAAAGATTACGGAAATTGTTATTAGAGTATATTATAAATGAACTGAAATCTCACAAGTTTATACAATTAAAGTTGTGAATTTTTAATATGAAAATGCAATTAATAATTATATTTTAGAAGAGATTTCAGAGAGTAAACATAATATTTAAAGAAATTAAAAATTTTGCAGCTTATATATAAAGCTAAAAAAACAAATTAACGCTCAAAGTTTATTATTTTCATTTTATTTCCATGCAAATATAAAATTAATCCAAATTTGGCAACAAAAAAATCTGAAAGTGAACTGTATACAAAAACTAATTACTCTTTCATACTGTGATGATTTTTTTTAGTGAAAATAAGCCATTTTAAATTTGAAAAACTGAAAATTATTAAAAATTTATCATTATTATAACTTTAAAAAAAATATTTTGTTAAAAAAGCTTAAAAAGTATTACACAAATTATAAAGCAAAATATTTTATTAATTAAAAAAAGAAAATAAAAGAATTTTTGAAGTATGCAAATAAGTCGTAGCCAATAATTTGACTATTATCAATGTAAGCATTGATTCAGAAGCTTAATTTGGTGCATCGCCTTGAAGAATTTTCACATCCCACAAAAAGAGGAAAAATGCCGCAATAAGACAGACCTGAAATTTAAAACTTTATCATTTTAATTTAATTACTTCTAATTTCAGTAACCACAAGAACGTTTAAGCATATGTAAATTAAACGGATATTTATGAAGATAAAATATGATTATAAATTAAAAATGTGCTCAAATATATTTCAAGCTGTAATCTAGTTTGTACTAAATATCTGCATAATTCTTTTTTAATAATTCAATTCAGATTTAAAATGTATTTAAATTCAAAAGTTCAGTCAAAAGTACAAATAGCAAAAGAGTAAATTTGGTTTATTTTTAACGAGCTTAGTTCTAATTAATGGCTGCAAGTAGATTCCATAAAACTAAATCTGAAAAAATAATCTCCGTTAACCATTCTAGCAAATTTTTTTGTATTGTAGATAGCTATTTAAAACAAAATGCAGTTTTATGGTCAAACATATAAAGGGATAAAAACCTCCAAAAAATAATTTTTATCATTGTATTATCTGTAAGTTCTAAATGTGGATGTTTAAAAAAATAAATTTTACGTAAATCAAAAATATTGACGAGCACGTTTACGTGATTTGCTCTTATTGAAAAAAAAGTTAATATTTATCAAAATGCATAAAATAACGAACAGCAGTGATGATGAGAGATGTTCGGCTAGAATTCATTTCAATTACAAACCAAATGATGAGGACCGATGCAATCAAGAAAAGCACCGTACACACTACCGAATATATTCTTTCCTATAATGCTTACAAAATTATTACTCTCAAACTGAAGCAGATAAGTAAGTATTTACAAGCTGTTACTAATTTGAAATCGTTAACAAAATTAATTTGAAATTGAATAACTGTTTTCTTTTTTGTTTTTTGCGTTTGCTAAAAGACACAAAGTTTTTGGATTAGAAAGATGTTTAAGCACATAATTACTAATTTATTTTACTAAAACATTTTTAAATATCTAAAAAAATTTTATAATTAGTTTGTAATAATTACAATAAATATTATTATTTTATTATGAAAATTTTAAAAATAGCAAAAAATAAAAGTTTTTAATTAATTTATGTTTGCATTTAATTAAAAATTTATCAAAAATTAACGATTTTCCAAGCAGAAATGTTGAGCAAATTCATAATGAAAAGTATAATGTTGATGATGAGGACCACAAAGTTAAGTCCTGAACAAAATCCAAGTCGTCCTTCACCAAAACAAGATCTACCACCATGCCTGCATAAATCTTATCTATCTCATCTCATCTCATCTTAGACAAAATATTAACAAATCTGTCATAATAAATAGATTAATGATTTGATTGATCAAAATAGATTAGCTTTTAAAAACAATAATATATTACTCAAATTTTGAAAAGATACCAAGATGCACAAAGGAGCGAGCAAACCACAAAACCGAGAATAATTTGAATGATTTTAATGAGACCACGGTTGCTGCTTAGATATCGTGTATTTAAACCAATATCACCCATTTTTTTTAAGCTATCCAATCAATCAATAAACCAAAGCAATCAGTTTATACTCGAACAAAGTCTGTAAAAATTATACTACTTATTGATTGAATGCTCATGAATCACGCACGAAACACGCGTGACTAATCGTGCATCATGCATGAAATATGCATTAATAATCATAGATCACTGCATGAATTACCACTGAAATTATTTTTGCTTTGTTATTATCAAAGAAAAAATAAGTACTGTTGAGAAATTAATAAATAATAAGTAATTCATAACAGAAAATATTTAATTAAGATGATATCAAAAATTAGCATTAAGAAGTACTAAGTGAATTCAGAAGGATATATGCAAATGAAGCAGCAAGAACAAGCTTAATGATCAAAAGCGTATTTACAAGAATGGTTTAATCCATTTCTCAAGTTAGCATAATATCTAATCTAAAAGTATCACAATTAAAAATAGTCTCAAACAGCATGTAAATAATGTAATAAGTAATAAGAAATGTAATATGTTGTTACTAAATTTGATTCTGTCTAAATTGAAACAGAAAGTAGCATGAAGGGAATTACTTGTTTGAAGTATGAGTAATAAAACTTGCTTCATATATACATTGCATTCACGTATAAAACTCGTTTTCTCTCAATACTTTTTAAATGCTTATTTTATTTTGCAATAAAAACATTTAAATTTAGAAATTATCAAAAAGTAGAGCTAAAATAGCTGAAAAATTTTGTCGTCTTTACTTTACTAAACTTCAGTTGGTTTGAATTTTGGATTTTGAGCTATTTTGAATTTCAGGCATCAATCAAAGTTAGAATGCATGAATTTACGTAGATTTTAAATCAAAAAAATAGAAAAAAAAAACGCATTATTAAGAAAGTATGTATCACTTAGATCAAACAATTATTATGATTGCAATGATTTTAATCTAATTTAAACACCAATTAAGCTTGTTATTTTAGGGTTAATTTTAGTTTGATAACAATAAAGTTAAAATCATTTGATTAAAAATTATTTTCGATCAAAACAAGATATTCAAGTATTATTCACGTCAGCAATTTCTCAAATACAGCACTATAATATTTCTATACTGAGCTATGACGAATGTTTAAAGCTCACATTATTAAGTCAAAGATGAAATATAAGCATTAGCTAGCATTGCTCAGTCCATTAAAAGTAGTAGTGAGGGTTTAGTCAACAATATATGTGAATAAACAGATGAAAATAGAAGTAAATAATTTCAGGGCACAACACGTTTACGGCAAATATTTCAAGTTGCATCTGATAATATACTTTATGCTAATATTAATAATAATAAAAATAAAAATAAAAAATACATACAATAATAATAATAATAATAATGATACAGGTAAGACATGCAAATTTTAAAATTATACACAATAATAACAAATAAATAGTAATGAAGCAGTGAATATTAAAGTGAAATAAAGGGAGTTTACGAGCACAATATTGTTAGTTAGCATTAAAATTGTAGTAATAATTGTGTAAAAGAGCAGTTGTTAATATGATAAAATTTTTATTATTGTTGTAGCAAAAAGAATTCTGAATGTAACAACACGACATCCAGTAATCATGCCAATAATTTATCAGTTGTGCAGTTGAACAAAGTATGAATGCAAAGGAAAATGATAAAAATATTAATAAAAAAATTCATTTCAAAAGTCAAATTCAAAAAATGGAAAAAAGATTTATTAAATATTAAAATTTTATTTTTTCTATAGTCATAGCATTTAAAGCGCTAATTATGTGAAATTATTTAAGCACGAAAAATAATAAATTTGAGATAATTTAAAGCACAAAATTATTTTTAGTTCAAAAAAAAAAATGAAAGCAAAAATCAAAATGAAAATAATTTCAATTTTTTTAATAAAAACAAATTTGACTCTTCGGAATCAAAAAATTATGAACAAAACTTAAAAAGTAACGCTAGAAAAACGTACTGCCGTTGTAATTTAAGCTGATATTAAATGCAAATACGAATCTTATTAACCCAGTAATACTTAATTTTTATTAAGGTCAATAGATTTTGTTAATATTAGTAAGAAATAAATTGACCTGAATCTAAAAGTGATATTATTGTGAGAATAGCTGATAAAAGTTTTGTCAATTATTATTACAAGTAATTACTGCTTAAAAATCTGTAAGTTTAATGTTTTTGTTTCATACTTTTGCACAGTTTATTGTAACCTAAAGCTATCAACAGTCTTTTTTTGTACAAAAATAAAAATTGCAAGCAATATGATATCTTTGTAATCGTTGTTTTTAACAACTACACAAAAATATAATAAATTTTACATTTATAGAAATACAATTTATAAATTCAGTACTATACTATCTATGTAAATAAATAAAAAATACTCTGATCACTGATAACTACGAATTATCAGTGATTCATTAATTTTATTAGAATTCATAGATTTTATCAATATCATTAAAAAATAAACTTTATGTTGTGAATAAATTCTAATATTGTATTAATCTCAAATTACATTTTTTGTACATGAAAAGTGAACTTTTATGCTTTTACTTACTAAAAATCTCAACAAAAACTGATCAAATCTTAGCACATTTTCAATTTTGAATGTTCGAAAATACTTTTGAATACTTTTCAAATTTTAAATGTTAAATTTATGGAAAATAAAGTGATGTGAGTTTGAATGCCAATGCAAAATGATTGCTTTCGAATAAAATTGTAGTTATTATAGGTATGTATTTAGTATAATGCCCCGACTTTTCTATACATGTACTGCAAAATTTTCAATTACATACGACTATGAATAAGTATTTTCGATATAACACAAAATGTTCACAATGCTGAAAGTAAAATGCATAAAATTAGTACAATTTCGATAATTTTTATTTGCAATTTTTAATTCTTTATAATGACAAACATTTATTTGTATTAACATTACAATAATAATTATTACAATAATAATAAAGCAGTAATAAAAGTTGTTACGTGTTCAACAACTACATATATACAAATGAAAAAAATTTTGCAATATTTTGCTCACGCAATCAACGGTAAAGTAAACGCTAGAAAGGAGTATGACCTTTCTTCACCGTAGTCAAGGACGAAATGATTTGGCTTAGTGTAAATAAAATCATAATAAAAAGCAAGGAGTGAGGTACACGTATAGTTAAGACGTTGTCTTTTATTTAAAAGGGGAAAGGTCAACAAAAATCAGCAGTCAACAAAGAACTGGTCACTTTTATGAGTGATCAGAATGAAAGCAAATAATTTTCGCGTGCAAATAAATTTGATATTGTAGTGATCAAAATAAAAATAAGAAAAATTCTGCAGTAAATTTATTTCATAAATGCTGACATATTCTTACGTTACCGTAATTTGATTCAATTACTGAAGTGATCTACTAGTCACGTATCTGTGACGCGTAATCTTATCAATCTCTTATTCATTATGAATATGTGATTTATTTGAATCAAAGAAAAGGTTTGAAATTAAAAATAAAATATAAAAAAAGTAAAAAAACAAATTAACAAAAATAATTGCAAAGATTTACGATAAACAAATATGAGGAAAGTTGCAAAAAGCAAACGAAATTTAAAATGCTCAAAAACTGGTAATAGCAGTATTAATATTATATAATCTATACTACTTAATCTACGTATTTACTAGCTTAATAACATTTTTACTTACTTGAAATGCTACCTCTCTCCACCAGAAATATTTAATGATAATAAACAAGGCAACCAACGTAAAGCAACCAATCAACCAAACAATTTTATGTGCTCAGTAATTGAGGGTTGAATCAGCCAATAGCACATTGTAAACAACTTCTTCGTCCGCCAACTCTATTCAAATTACATTCTATTCTCACATACGCAATACTTAAACATGCAACTATTATTTCCCTCATTATTTATCGCTTTCCCGAATTATGTCTTGCGCGAAGATGTCTGCCCGCCAGCAACTTGGCGCAAATTTTGTTTACTTTGAACTAATAGAATGGCAGTGATTGGTGCAAAAGACAACTCCGTGGATCAGATAGCGATCGGGCTAATATTTATCAATGATTTAAGCAAACATCGTGCATTCATATATTCTTTCTTATAGTCACTGTTTTTTAATAACGTGCTATTTTAAATACAAATCTAGATTAATGGGCAACTGCGAAAAAATGAGCTCAGAATGTATACTTATCATATTGATCGGTTATTATTTATTTGTTTAGTCATTACTATTATTATTATTATTATCATTATTACTATTATTATTATTATTATCATTATTATTATTATTGTTATTATTGATAATAACTGCAACAATTACAAAGCAATAAAAGAAAATTCGCACTATCAGCTAATTATTTCAGTATGCAAGAAATTTGCACCTGAAAAGTATGAAAATAAATTAGAAGTAGCAAGTGATAGTAAAAATCAGAGCTTAGATTATTTATTTAACCTTTTATTACAATATCATTTCCATCTGTTTATTACAGTATAATTTATATTCACATCTGTTTACAGCAATATTTAACATCATAAAATATTTTAGGATTGCTTCAAATGTAAAAAAAAAAATTAGCAGAATGTATCTGTGATAGTAATTGCATTTATAATGAATCATAATCTAAAAATAAAGTATTTTTGTTTTAGATTCACCAACAGTTCTACTTGATATTTTATAAATATTCAATACAAAATAATATAAAACTTTGTTGCAACCTAAAAATATCAACAAAAAAAATTTGAAAGGCATTTTAATCGTATTTCTGCAATGAATAAATATTTTTCATAAAATGTTTTAAACAAAATCATAGACAAATTGATTGATAACTATGATAATAACGGCGTACAGAAACAGATATTCATTACAATAAAGAAATAATAAAAGTAATACAAAAAGTATAGGTAATTAATTGCTGTAACTGTCAATTATAGAAACATACCTCAGATAGATAGATGCATACATATTACTTACATTATTTAAAATTTGTATGTTTAATTTAAATAAGTATTTATTTATTTACTTACTCAAAAGTAAAGTTTTCAAATTTAACACGAAATTGAATGAGAAATTCAGAAATTCATCGTTTGAAAAATTTTTGTTCAAAAATGTCAAAGTTCATTTTTTAAAAATTAAATAAAGTAGATAGTAAATTGCTAAATTAAATAATAAACTAAATAAAGTAAATAGACTACTTTGTCAATAAAAGTAAAATTAGATTGCATTTACAAAATGATATCAGACTGTATGATTTCATTTTAAATTGTCAAAATTGAACAATTTTTTGAGTGGTATAAATTATTTTCGTATTCATATTCATGACAAGTATGGATTTGCTTTATAATCAGACATGTTTTCAATTTACTGTTTTATTTTTTTACAGTAAATTAATTATAACAGTGGCAGCTAAGGTCATCAGAATATTGCAGTGATTCCTTCGAATTGAAAGAGGCAAAAAAATTCACTGATGAATGATTGAATTCATTCGCATAACGTTTTTGTTTGCTTACAGAAAATAAATATTAGCAAAATGATGTTAAATGAAATTTAATAAGGCATTATTATTATGATTATGCAAAGTTTTCGTCTGATAAATTATCAGAAATTACAATAAAAAGTATCAAATTTCGATGTCTGCTAATAAAAACAATTATGATTTTATTTTTAAAAATTATTTATTTATTTATTTATTGAAAAAAAACAAACTTTTATTTGTATATTAATTCAAAATGCAACCCAATCTCTCTTATTTAACATTAATTATTTAAATAATTTACTAAACACATTTAGACAAATGTCATGCATGATTAATAAAGTAAAAATTAAATGATATTTGTATTTATTTATACTGAAAATATTGCTCACCAAAGAATAAAGTTTGTGAGTTATCAAAAGTGCTGCTAAAAAAGAAATTTATTTAAGTTGTACTCAGAAATAGCACAGAATTAAAAAGAAGTGAATACAGTTTTTGAAATTAGTTTATTTATATAATAACAAAATAAGTATAGTACAATAAAACCATTTTAAATTGAATAAATATTGGATTATCTTTGCTTTGATTACAAAGTTTACATAAGTGAGTGAGTTACTTGGCAGAGCGAAGAATATATGCACAATTTTATTGTAAAGAAGTGCAGTTTTAAATTTAGTTATCTAAATTATTAATTTTTATTTTATTAATTTATTTATTTAAATTATTAATTTTTATTTTAATGATGAATATATTTCAAATAAAAAAATAAGAATTTGCTATTTGAAAGGATTAAAACAAAATAAAGCAAAAAATATTAGCAAATAAAAAGTTGTGACTCAAACATTTTGATACGTTTAGATGTGTTTTTTAACAGATGACTCTGTAAGATGTAATTTGAAAAATGCGAATAAGTATGAATAATGAAAGTTGTTATAGTATATAGTAATGTTAGCATTTCAGTAAAGATGAATTACTTCAAGTTTATTCATTTTTTCGGGTTAAAGTTCAACGACAATACAAAATAAATAATAACTTAAAATTCTGCTAGTAAATTGTGGATAAAAAGAAAGCAATCAGATAATTGGTAAATAAATTAACTTTGCATAAATGTTTGCGTGACTACAAAAAGTAAGAAGCAGATTTAATCAGAGCATCCATCAGAGACACATGTTGGTTGAGTGAATTGGAATAATTGTGCTTCGATGTGAGAAGCATCTGAGAAGCTCTGCAGCTGTTCAGCTACTATTTTGCATTTACCTTCCAATCACAACGATGTTATAAGAGTTGCTTTATTTTTGTATTATTTTTAGCACACAAACAAATTTTGACTTTTTGGCATAAATTACAATACCTCAGTTGCTATACATTGTATACTTTCCATAAATTAAACTTATGCTAACAATCTGCTTTAAAAAATTCCCTCCACATTATTTGTGTAATAAAATGTTCTCTTTAATTAGTTTACAGATCCAAGTTGAAGTCAGAATCATACTCATTATAATAATAATCTGAACAAAATCAGTAATTATTTTGCTACTATATTGTTATTATTATTATTATTGTTATTAATTGTTATTATTATTATTATTATTAATTGTTATTATTACTTCTTTTATAGAATCAAGACTGCAAATCTTGGTGCTATAAAAGTAAACATTGGTAGAATTGAACTCGTTATTAAAAATTATTAGTGCAGGCTGAAAAATTCAAAACTAGTAAGTGCCCAACCGTTATCAGATTATATCTTTAATATTTCATATTTAAATCATACATTTGAATCATTCACAATTTTTATTGACAAAAGTTTTTCAAATTATCAGCAAATCCATTTTAGTATAAAATTATTAGTAGTAAAAACTTTATGCTCGTTACTTTATAAGAAAAAATTAAATGTTATTTTATACAAAAACTTTACAGTCACATTTTTATTTGCTTAGTAATGCAAGCATTTCAATTGCTATTGCTGTTATTCATATTGCCAATCTCGAGGGCATATTTCAGTACTCAAACTAATAATTCATGCAGTTGGAATGTACGTTTTATTTTTCATCTCACATATTTATATGAATACACGTAATTTTTCTAAACATAATCATACTTTCTGCAAAAAATGTTCAACCCATTATATCTTACAAATTCTTAAATTTGACCTTTACAACCTTTTTTCTTCAATTCAATAAAATAATTATCCAAATTAAATACAAAGGTAAAATGCAAGATCCAAAATCAAACTGAATTTCAGAACTGTAACAGTTGGAGTAAGGACAAAAATGTCCTGAATATTCATCTAATTTGTCATACTCATGACGATCTGGGTTGGATCAAGACTGCTGATCAGTACTACTATGGCTGTATGTTAACAACTATTTGTAATGTATGACTAAATATCATGCACTTAATTAGTAATATAAAAATTTTATGAAAGTTCAGCGAAAAGAAATGTTTCTTTAAATTAAGGTCATTATTGGTGTAATAAGGAAATGGTTGTCTATTTACAGCTAAGAACAAGCTGACACCAACAGGAGTACAGTATATAATTAATACTGTATTAGATGAATTAGAAAAAGACGCAAGTAGACGTTTTGCTTGGTGTGAAACGTCATTTTTATGGCGTTGGCTGATTGATCATGTAGAAACAGAACGTATGAAAAAACTTGTTGAACGAGGTCGTATATTACGTATTTGAAGTAACAAAAAATTTTTTTGCATTTATTCGTATATATATATATATA